AAATAAATAAATAAATAAACAACTCATGCAGGGATCTATAATTGGTTAAGCAACGAAGGGGCACATTCTGAAAGCAAGTCCCCTGACCACCAGCACACAGCCCTTCTCTTGCCATGACTTTAGGGTCTTCAGCTGCTCAATCTCTCAGGCCATCACCTCTGCTGCCACCTCCCATATTACTGCTTCTCTGGTTAGGGTCTCACATTCATCTCATGCTCTTCTCTTCAAGATAGATCTTGAAATGTTCTTTTTTTGAAGATGATAATGTGATGCCATTCCTCTTCAATGTAGCATTCCATGTGGTTGTCTGATTCAAAAATACCAATTTCATTTATTTTCTTATCACTAATGCCTAAGAAAATGATATATATGTGCCTTTTTTTCCATTTTGGATAACTTCCAGTTTTCCTAGGTTCATACTTCATACATTACATGTTTTATTATTAATGGATGTGTACATTAATGTGTTTCTCCTCATTTTGAGTTGTTACCCATCAGCAAATGAAGGTACCAGAATCTTTACTCCATTCACATCATTACTGTCAACTGTTATTTTAAGGACGCATCTCTTCCCCAATGTATTTTTAGTGCTTTCTGACTGGACAGGCTCATTTTCCGGCACTATATCTAACACTATCCAGGTGTTCTTTATTATGTTTCAATATCAATATTCTGATGCTGACAGTGTTTCACTGCTGTTCATAATGTTTTTAATGAGTAAATATTCAGAAGTAGTCTCACTCTCTTTCCTAGTGTGTCAGACTGGAAGCTCAATTGAAACCTGTTCACCATTGGTGACCCTGCTGGTACTAAAAATACTGGTGGTATAGCCCTCAGAATCTTAACAATTCACATGCCACCATAGGTGACAGATGAGTGGTGGAACTACTACCTACTACTACCTTTTATCTATAACCTGAGTTTGGGTATGCCGCTGTGGGTTAATGCACCAGACTGCAAAGCTGTTTGAACTGCAAGGTTAGTGGTTCAAGCTCGCCAGTTGCATCTTGGTAATCCTATACAGGGTTGCTATGGGTTGGATCTGACTCAATGGAACTTTACAACAACAATAACAATCACTTAAAGGATCTAATCTTATCTCCTTCATCCAAATTACTTACTGTACTTGTTTTTACTGTGCCTATGAGATATTTTTCATTCCTAACAATTTATAGTTTCTCACATATACTTACTAGGTGTTTTAAAACTGTCCCAATTACTTCTCTTTCACTCCTTCCTTTCACATCCTGGTACTAGATAGCTCCTATAGACCCTGCATATGTCAACCAAAGTTGACATCATCCTTCTACATGTTGCGGTTGTTGTTGTTAAATTCCATTGAGTTAGTTCCAATTCTTAGTGAACTTGTATAGGGTTTCCAAGTACTGGTTGGGGAGTTTAAACTCCCAACCTTGCTCTACAAACTGAACTTGCAGTCCAGTGCTCATCCCATAGTACCATACATGGACTCCTTACCCTTCTACTAGTTAGTTCCTATAAAGCCTATCTATATATGCCAATCAAGCATCATTTGATGTTAGGTTTACCTTAACCATTAAGTATTAGCTAGGTGATTCTTTCTTTAGCTCCTGAAGTTTTTGGCATCTGTTAGCTGACTTTGAAATCTTCTGTTTTTATAGATTTCTCCAGCTGTAGTTTTCAATAACAGGAATCACACTTCACTTAATTGTATATGTCTCAGTCCTAGTACTATGTTGAGTGCATGGTGTGCAATGAACAAATGTTTAGTCAATAGAACAGTTGAACCTAGTCAGTCTACATCAGCAATTCTTGCAAAAATACTATAGTCAATAAGGAGGTATAGTTGAAATTTCCTCTTTAAATTAAGCATGCACCCAGGGGAATAAAGGTACCAGAGAAGTGTGAAAGGATGCATTCTTATTTAGAAAATAAGAATATTCAAAAGGGAAAAACTTAACTTAGTTATAAATTTTTAGATCATTCAATTGGGGCAGGATACTACTTTCAAATCGTAAGAATCAGTGCATTGCCATCCCTCCAATCAGCAGTAGAGATATCATCAAAAAGCAGATTCACAGCACAGTTTGCATTCTAGTACTATAAAACTAAGATCTCTCGTTCAGGAAGCTGTTGCTATCAAATATTTACCAAGTTAAAAAGTACATATCTCATCTTTATAGGTAAGTTAGTTTTGATCTAGCACCAAAATGCTAGATCAAATTAGTTATGTTCTAGCATGCAAACTGTTTCAGTATAAAATAAGTAACTTGTCTACATAATAAATTGCTATCTTGAGATACATATTCCTTCACTGTATTTTCATGATGAACAAGCTGGTCACTTGCTTTGACTTGGGTATTTGGATGCCATACACTTTTAGCAACTGTTTGTAATGCTTTGCCTTTGCCCCTCAGACTAGATTAATAGTGATAAATTGTGCATTGTACTGTATATTTCACAAATCCCTTTCACATAAAATGTTTAATTTAATATTGATAAGACTAGCTGATAATTATAGAAAGCATTAACAACCCAGTTCAAATAACAGCTCTAAAATTTTCTAGCTATGAGAATTTGGACCAATTATTTAATGTCTCTATGTACCAATGATAATTTAAATAAATGAACCATTAATTTCCTTTGAGAAATTTATTAAGCTAATTTTCAGAACTTTCCTGGAGATATATTAACTCAATAAGTATTTAGAACAATATGTCACAATTGGCATGCTTTCAAAATATCATGTGTTAATATTCTGAAGTATGTATTTTTGAAAATCAATTTTAGCTGTTTTACTTCTTCTGCCTACCTTACTTAAAGATTTATGTAAGTGGAATTTCTCTTTTGCTTTCAATTTCCACAGATTCTCTAGTTCAGTATTATCAAATGTGTTGACTAATAAAGAAGATAAAATTACATTATTTGCATTAGCTCTGGTCAATTGTTTTTTTAAACAAAGTTTTTCCAATTTGTTCATAATAAAGCAACAGTACAACAGTGGTCCTTTTATATGTGTTTAAGGGGAAATGTTTCTGTACAATCACCAGATTGACCTTCAAAAATGCCCCTTCATTTCCTTAATATGATCTTTCTATCCCTAGAAATGTACAGATTCCACTCTGTTCTGGCTTAAGCAGCTTCCAGAAGTCTCAAATCCTAACTCCCATCAGTTCTTCCTACAGCCTCCTTTAAGGAATCTTTTGCTGCTTGGGAATGTTTTAACATTCAGCAGGTTAAGGAAACCCATGGTCAGCTTTAGAATTTTAGTCTCTGCAGAGCTTTCAAGGTGTCAAGACCCTAAAATAATATGAACAGCAGGAGTACTAAATCTTTCATTATTTCCAGTTTCCCCTTGAGCATACTGACTTTGCAATAAAGAAGCTGTCATTTACACTCTGCTTTATTGCAAGGTAGGTAATAGCTACAGGGAGAAAAAATAAGGAACTGTGTCAAGTGAGGCTGACTGCCATTCTGATTAATGTGTAATCATTGCACATTTGCATCTACTCTTTTCATATACAGGTACTTCATAGATTGGAAGAGTGATGGGGACAGCTACTTTACAATAGATGGAACTGACGGAACTATTGCCACTAATGAATTACTAGACAGAGAAAGCACTGCGCAGTATAATTTCTCCATAATTGCAAGTAAAGTTAGTAAGTATGCCATGGATGAAATCAATGTTATACTGTAGTTCTTTGGATTTAACACTCTAAACGAGTCCCTGCTGAGGTGTTTTTCATTTTTAGACTGACAGCTGAGTCGTCTCCTGGGGAAACTCAGAAACCTGTTCCTTTTCCTTATAGTATAAGTCTAGAGAAATTGTGATAGCTGCCAATGAGCTCTGTTTGCAGGATTACATGAATATCTAGAAGTGCATTTCATTGTGTGACCTCATTTCTTTCTATCCTGTAACCTTAAAATTCCACTGGAATCAAAATTCAGTCACCCATAGAAACTTTGCATATATTATTGAAAGTATCATGGGCCAGTCAGAATGAACTCATGTCCATAAAAAAATCACCCATTATAAAATGTTACCTTTTACTTTTTTCACTAGAATTTATTTTTAAATGATATTTTATTGTGTTTGTGGGGAACGTTTCCACAGTAAATTAGACTCCGATTTCAACAATTTCTGATATATATATATACGCACACACACACTGGAGGGCCATAGTGTCTTTGACTGTGTTCTCTATAGAAACAAAACCAGTAAAAGTTATAGATCTATACATAAAGAGAGGTGTATGTCAAGGAAATGACTCACTCAGTTGTAGAACTGGAAAAGTCCCAAGTCTGTTGGTCAGATATCAGTCTGAAAGCTTCTGAATCATCTTCTGCAGGGCTGATGAACCAAGATAGGCAGATTAGTTGGTAAGCAGGCAGATAGGCAGATCCAGCAGGTAAGAAGGTAGGCATTGAACAGCTCACAAAGGCATGTCAGGTATTAGGAAATGTATTAGTTTGTTCAAGCAATGAAACAAGATCTGGAACAGCAACTACAATTGGAGTCAACACCTGACTAAATTAATAATAATCTACTGTCATCCTCCAAGATCCATCAGTTTTTTAGCACAGAACAGATAGGTAAGTTAAATAAGGATATGATGGGAGTCATCACCCTGCATCCTACAAATCCCTGATGCTACATTCATCTCTGCAATCCTTCATGAATGTGGTATTGTGTTTGGTTTGCTATTTTCCTAGGTAAAAGCAGTTTAAATTATTCCAATTGACTTTTTGGTATCATAATAAAAGCCTTTATTCCACATTTCAGGGATTCAATGTGGTGTTTCTTTCAGTTGCTGAGTATGTCTATTCTGATTATCCATTCTGGAACTTTGGAAATCACTACAGGATGAATTAGGGGACACACTGTGAGACAGACCTTAGATAAGACTCCATTAATAACTTGACCTCTGTACTCCCCACTCTGACTGGTGGGCCACAGTGATACTTTGGGTCTCTTGAAATTAGTGTTAATTCAGAACCAGTGTCTATTAATCACTGAAAACACTGATTATTTCCATTTCCCCAATGAACAGTCACTCTTGTAAAAAGATGAACAGTATAAAATTTTAGTGGAATAATTGGGTTCTACCTCAAAGTAACACAGTCTCTCTTTAATTCAAGAGAGTCTGTAAACTGGTTCCGATATAGGAAGTGACTGAGAGGCCATGACACTGTATTCTGGCAATTCAAGTTAGGCTATCATTCACCTGACCTGGATTTCTTCTGCTTACACAGATCAAATAAATATTTAGTAGGTTTCCCATATATTTCCCTCCTAGGGACACCCTGAGTCTCACTTGTCACCAATACTTGATATATAAATGGTGATATTTTTCATAATATACCTCATACCATGGATTAGCAGAACCCTCTTAGATATCAGTGCCATTAAAACTAGACAGACACAAAAGCCAATTTTAAAAGCTTATCCTTACAATTTTGTTTTTCTAGAACCACACTTAGTACCAAATACTTTACACTGGGTTCTTTAGAGAAGCAAAGGTAGTGAGGCGTTTATTTTTATATGTGAAGAGAGATTTGTATTAAGGAAATGCCTTACTCAGTTGTACAGGTGGGCTGACTCATGTAGATGTAGGGCTGAAAAACTAAGGGTGGAAAGTCAGATGGCAGGCAGGCAGACAGGTCTGACAGGTTAGAAGGCAGACTCTGAAGAATTGATGTGTTTGAGTTATGGTCTTGGAGAAGACTATTGCAAGTGTCATGGACTGCCAAAAGAATAAACAGATCCATGTTGGAATAAGTGCAGCCAGAGTTCTCCTTGGAGGCAGAGTGGCCGAACTTTGTCTCTCACACCTCAGACATATTATCAGGAGGGACCAGTCACTAGAGCAGTGGAGAAAGTGAACTGGAGAAAAAAGAGTAAGTGTTAATTCTTTGGTACAGAGGGTTGGTATGAGTCAGTACGGACTATATGGCACCTAACAACAACAACAGAGCAGGCCACTGACTCAAGTCCAAAGAATCAGAAATTAGAGGCTGAGCCACATGTAATATCCAACAGAGAGCAAGCAAGCTTTGTCTGAATGTCTAACATATTGGAAGCAGACTGCACCCTCAAGGATGCTTCCCTTCAATTGACTGGCTGCTCATAGCATACCACATCATAAAGTGGACTATATTATATTAGCTTTCATCATGGGGAATAACATCTCAACTGTCAAACCACTGAGAATACTGGCTCAGTTATGTTGAGGCAAAACCTTAACTATCACATACACTCATCATTACTATTCTTTATTTGGTATGCTAAGTGTTACTTCCTTAAACAATGACAACGTGGATTAGCTTTGGTTCAAGGTTTAATGGATATTTCAAGGTAATAGTTTCAAGTAGTACTCAATTCCAACCTGGTTCAGTGAGGCTAGACTTTTTAAAAAATTGAGTTCTGTTTCATTTTGTCCCATTCTGTCATGATCTATCTATTGTGATCCTGACATTAGGATGCATTTTCAAAGTAAATATCATTGAGGAATAATGAGTTATTTTAAAGTGCTTTTTCCAAGGGTTTGCTCAAATTCAAAAGGATTGCTAGGAATTATGCCTTGTGTTGGCTTCTGCTTAGTTCAGAAGATCTTTTATTCTAATCAGAATTCTTAGCTGTTGCTTGATAACCAAAGATATTATCATAACTTTCTAAAATAATGCATCAGGGTGGAGGAGGGGGTGGCATTTAGCTCGGGACATAGTTGTTTTTAAAAGAAGTGTAGCTTGCTAGGCTTCTGTTTATGGTCTTTTGAAAGGTTTGGGGAAATCCCTTTTGAATATCTTTCATTCCGTTTCTTTGTTATTTCTTTGTGTGCATCTGGTGCAAATTCATAAACATTTGGCAGCTAATCTTACCTTTCAATGCAGAAAAGAGCTAGCTGTGAACATTTCTGTTGAGAGTTTTTGAACAGTCTCAACTCAGTAGGGTGTAAATATGAAACAGGTTTGTTTATCTTCAACAATTACTTCCAAACAGGAATAGTCAGACATCTTTTTAGTCAGTCCTCAATGACATTTTAAAATGGTTTCTTGATTTTCAGATCATTATGACTAAGTTACTTTAACATAAAGGAGGAGTGTTGGTGTGGTGCTATAGGATAAGCACAGAACTGCTTACCACAAGGTCAGTGGTTCAAATCCACCAGTCAATCCTCAGAAACCCTATATAGGGTCGTTAAGAATCAAAACTAACTTTATAGCACTTAACTCCATTAAGGATCATGTAGCATCCATCTTGTTCATTGAAACACTTGCCTTTAGGGCTCTGATCCAAGAGTGCCATGCCAGGAGACCCACATATAGAAACTCAGGTTGACAGTCCCTTGAGCTCACTCTTACAACCATCCTTGCCTGTGTAGCGGATATGTGAGAGAAATTATCTTGGAACCTCTTATTTTGTTGTTAGGTTCCATTGAGTCAGTTCCAACTCATGAAGACCTTGTATAAGGCTTTCAAAGAGCAGCTGGTAGGTTTAAACTACTGACCTATAATACCACACCAGAAGACCACTGGAACCTCTAGTAGAACTCCATTTAGTGCACTCCTCAAAGAATCTTTCATTAATGCCAGTTGTATTACAACCCCATAAAACTCGTCTGCATGATTATTCACAAAATCATTAGATATACCAAAAGAGTCATTATTTTAAGCTACTACATTTTATTATCATTTATTACATGGCAAAAAAATCACTGTAACCAATGAAAATTACTAAATGACAACATAAACTGGAACTGTCTCAATGAACGGACTGGAAAAAATGCTGGAGGTCTCTGTATCTGAAACAATTCTGCCCCCTATACACAGAAACACACACATATCTTAACAGTGGATTCTCCAGTATATTGAATTGGAAAGGTGGAAAGAAAATAAAAATGCATAAATCTCTCTTATCATACTGCATATAATGTTTCATTGATCACCACTATTTCTACTATTAAAATAGACTGGCAGGAAATATAAAAGTCCAGATGCTAACTCTTTTCTTCTTTGAATGTATACATTCTGTGTCATCCTCGCTTTTAAGTAGTACTCTGACTGTACTACTTTCATGATAGATTTATTAGACATTCAGGCAGCCCATGATACATTTAACAATCTTAACCTATAGCATAATGCAAAGACATCAATTCTTTTTTGGTCTTCCCTATTCATCGTCCAGCCTTTTGTCCATATGTTGTTGTTATTGAGTGTTGTTGAGTTGATTCCGACCCATAGTGACCCTGTATAGGGTTTCTAAGGAGCAGCTAGTGAGTTTGAACCGCCAACCTTGCAGTTCAAATGGCTTTGCACTCTGGCGCATTAACACACAGTGCGACACCAGGACTCCATGTGAGGCAAATGAAAATACAAGGGCGTGGGTCAAATCTCAAACCAAACCCATTACATAGAGGTGATTATGTTGATATTCTGTAAGGTTTCCAGGACAGGAAATCTTTTTGAGAACAGTGTCATGTTTGTCTTCCATGGACAGTTAATAAGTTGAACTATAGACTGAATAATGCCCACATTAGTTCCTGGTGTCCTTTGCTTAGAAGGCAGCCTTTTTGGGTGAGTGAATAATATATTTTTTTCATTATCAAAACCTTTCTACTGTGTTTACTTGTCCCTGATGAAATTACCTGTACTGTGCTAA